GAAGTTTTCCACTACCTGACGTTGTTGTGATTCCACTGACAAGGCTGGCAATAGGTGAGTATTGACAAGAGCTAATTTCCTTGTATAATATACAATTACAGAATTTTCAATATGTACAATGACTCTGTCTTTGCATATGTCTCAGGAAAGAAGAATGAGTAGGGCATTACTCAAGTTATCTAGTTGTCCCAGTTGCTGTACATAGAGGCTGATTCTAAAGACAGCCCCACTAAGGGCTGGTCACACTGTTCACGAACACATGTGGCAGTACAAAATCTTGATTCTCTGACTTCAGGTGGATATCGAGAATGAGAAAGTATACTTTCTCTTTCTCCTCTACTCAGTGAAGCTGAGAAATGCGTACATCAGAAACATCTCATCAGAACACACAATGTACATACAGAAGAGACCACTCAAAAAGTATAATGACCATGGATACTAACTTGTGTGAATACAAACAGAGGTACAGTATTGCTGTACTAAGATCACTATAAAACTTTAAGCTTAGACCTTTTATCACTAATTTATAAACACGATCAAGCTGGTCTCACCTGTGATGCTGATGCATTCACAGCCATTGTAGACAGACTAAGAGGCAGCAGATGAGCCTCCGTTGTAAAAATAAACTGGTTCATGTTGAACACCAGATCTTCTTTTTCAGTAAACAACAGATACAGGTACTTGAATGTCTCAGCTAAGACAAATGAATCCATCCTAACACAAAACAAATCACATATATAGTTACTCATAAATAACTTTCTTAACGATCTTACCTGTAATAGATTGTGCTACTACATGTACCACAAACACTGGTATGCGATGTCACGCTTTTAATAGATCTTTTGTGCAGACTCCTCCATATGTTTAATTATAATTAATTTAGAAAACTCTGGGTAAATGAATTAATTTTTTTGCTCTGAGTTGACAGATATCATTTTCAAGTGTTCTAAGGATAGAGTTACTAACAGTAGAATTATTTTTTCTAAAAGGTATGTTTTTAACTATTTAGTAAACAGAAAAACTGTAATCTAATTCAGTTTTCCCATTGAAGCTGAGGCACATTAAAATTCATTTTAAATGAAACATCAGTAGCATGTTAAGTTACCGGTATTTGCAAAAGTTAAATTCACTTCACCTGTCTTCATGACTTAGTGTTCTGACATCCCTAAGAGCAGCAAAACCACAGGATACCCTAGCATGTTCATTTATCTTTTCCACGATATGCTTTCCAACATCAAGATAATATGGATCCCCTGTGGCCTAAAAATTAAATCCAACTTAAATTAAAGTCCTATAGATTTAATCATGAGCTTTATTTTTAATGCAATAATTAACATAACAGGGAATTTTCCAAAAACCAATATCCTACAAAGTGGTCCTGACTCCTGTATTATTTTTTCTCCCGAATATCACCTAGTCAAGCATTGTATGTCCAAATAGGTGAAGTTGACAAATAAACACTGTTTGTAATGGCTATCAATTTAATACGAAGTCACAAATTTCTTTTGTAAGACTTCATATAAAATTATCACACCTCATAAAGGAAGTATGTGCTTTCCACAAGCTCAGGTCTGAGAGGATGCTGTCCCCAGTGAACCTCAAAATCTGTGGTAAATGCCTAGGAAAAACAAATTCAGGTCAATCAATTATAAATACTGGTATGTAACATCAACAACATGTTACCCAAATAAAGTACCACATTCAGAGGTCTTTTTTAATCACTATTTTGAGACAAAGAGTGCAGATGAAAGCTATGGGACAGTTTGGCCCAGTGCTGACTTTATCTTGACTTGGTAACTGATTGTTATCATGATATCTGGTGAGGAAGAAGCTACCTCTGGTAGGAAGGTGTGTTTCTTGGAGACCTCGTACAACATCTGATGCATTTCAATGGCTTTCTTCAGGTCACCTTTAAGCACCTACAGGATGTACAATATTGCAAAACAATTACAGGTCTGTTCAAAGAGAGAGCCCAAATATGAGTAGCAAAAATGCAGCAGAGCTAAGGGGAAAGAGCTTACTTGAAGTCCTGGCCAGAATGCTTGTAGAGCATCCATGTAAGCATGTGTTGTTCTGTCGGGTTGATGCATCTGAACACTCAGGAACAATGGGCCTTGGTTTATGTACTGCATTATAGACTTGTAGTGCTGTTCACAAAATTAATACATTACATAATTTTAGCATTGCTCTTTGCACCAACTACTGCAGTGGCAAATCTCGAGGAAAAGACATTTTTGATTATGGATTACAAGCCAGGACAGAACATTCTGGCCCTTCCCTTCATCAGTTCATAGGATATCTTGACTTCCCCTTCCCCAAAAAGAACATACTTTGATCCGCCAATGTATTAGTCAGTCCTTCCAACTATCCAGTTGGATCATGTAATGAGAACCAACACAAATGAGTAATGTGCAATGTTTGCACAGATAGTTTTTTGTCCTCTTCAGTACAGAATGCAACCCAAGGTTCAAAACAACTACAGACTAACAAAAGAAAAAACTAGCTAAAATAAATGTACAAAACTTACCTTGTTAAACCTTTCCAAGTAAGTTTCATCTCCAAGAAGAATATAGGCTTTCAAACAGTATTCATAGTAAGAGTCAATACCAGCACCAACATTACTGTCTGTTGATGAAAATTGTCATGTGGTTATCTATATTATTCAAAACCTTTTAAGCAATGTTCTACATGATTTACACCACCCATTGTCTCAAAATAAAAGAAGGATCAGGAGGTATAGTAACATTTTTTACTGTGTATTTTCTGTAGTCAGGTACATGTTACATGGCTGTGTGATTAAAATATAATCTGGCCATTAAGTGTTTACTAGTTTTAGTTCATCTTTTTTCATTAGGTGTTTTGATCCACCTGAGATAATGCAAGGAATAATGATATACTCCTGTTCAAGTGAATGTGATTTTTACCTCTCCGAACCCAGTCCCCATTGTGAATGTTAATTACGGTTCCAACCAAATCACTAGCCCGGCTGCGGTGGATCCAGATTGCCTCCATAGCTTTCTGTGCCTTTGCCTATTCCAAAATGGACACAAAGACTTCAGTTCAGCGCCAGTTGAAAATTCTATTACTTATCAAAAAGAATATTACGTAGTTTTCAAGTCAAACACCTACGAATTAGCTACAATTTATCCAAAGAGCCTTAGTTAGTGAACATATAGTAATTTGCAACATCATTAAGATCTTCTTAAAGAGATAGGAAAAAAATAATGTTCTCTTTCTTTCCATTGGGCTATAAAAACACAAGTGGAAGTTTGGGAGAACTTGAAATGTTCTTCAGCTCTCATAAACTTCCACCTGTAGTGAGTAGTGTAGCCAATCAGAGGACAGCAGTAGATTTATACTAGAACTCAATAGAAACATGGTAGAGGAAATTAAACTACAAGTATACCTCAAATATTGGATCCCCAGTGAGTCTGGACAGTGCACCAAATTCCATGATCATTGTTCCAGCACAAGCAGTGCAAGTGTCTGACTCACTACCTGTCCCTGAAGATGGGTGGTGGATTCCATACTTTAGGTTGACCTATTAACACAACATTTAAATTAACTTGACTCCAGAGAGAACAGATCAGTAAAACTGTTCTAGGTTGTTACATTGTAGCTGATGCCTGAGAGAACAGATTCCATTTCATATTCCTCTCACGACCTAAGTTTAACTGTGTGTATAACTTATTATTATCAGTGAGGTATGAATACAATTAGGCAACTCACACGAGGATAGGGTATGCCAGTGGAGGTATTGAAGGCTGGTAGCAGTCGATAGCCAATTTCCTTTGCCATAGGCACCAGTTCATTGTTATACCACAGCATGCCTTTGCCAGCCGTCTTCAATGCTATTGCAGCAAAATGCCCTCCAAGAAGTCCCCTGCAGAGCATTTTAACAGACACATCAACTCACATCACTGCAAACATCAACTTTTACCCAAAGTTAATTAAAAGGGTTACATCACTTGATGTTAGTTGTTCAACTGTTACATAATACACTTAGTGCTGAAGTTATTCAAACAACAGACTAACTACTACAATTCTCAACAAAGTGCTATGATCACTCTGACTCTAAATACTGCACTTATATTCTACTGGATAATTTCTTTCCCTGACGTGATGCACACAGTCCTCACTTACCCTAAGACCCTTATGTTTGTCTCAAACACTGAAACCACCACATTGTTATCAAATGAAACATCTCTGATCACCAGTCGCACAGCCTTTTCAAACTCCTCTACATCTCCTAGAACCTTAAAGGAAGAAACAACACACAACAGAACCATGAACAAAAAATCAAAGTCAGAGAAAAAAACAAATCATTTAAGAAATGGAAAATGAAGTTACTGACTTACTGCTAATGTGTCCAATGTGTCGATCAATGTCAAGGAAAACCTTACAAAAAATAAAATAACAAAATTACTTACTCATTGAAACACTGTCTATTTTCTTTATTTCCAGTTTTCCCTGCTATTGAAAATTACTGGATGGGGAGAGTCCCCAGGGGACTCCTGTTCACCCCCCCCACAATGTAGGCATTTGTGACAGAGACATCAAGATGTTCAAATTTATAAATCTAGCTGTACATGTTAAAGGCAAACTGAACCAACCATGAACCATGTGTTCATTAAGTGTAAAATAAACACATCCTGAAGTTTCAAACAAATTAGAGGAAGCATTCTGGAGATACTGGAATGTTAAAATCACTGTTTTATAGCCTTCATAATTGTCAAATTGTCAGAAATGCTAACCACTGATGCCAACAAAATGGTACAAAACACTTACGAACGCTAAAAGAACGCTACCAAACGTCTCTTGTTCCTCATAGTACACAATGTTAAATTATATTTAACTATATTCAAGTTATGAAATGAAATCATAGTTAATTAAGGTTTCATGGTAGCTTTGTTTCATGGTAAGATACTTTAATAGGCTTCTTAATATATTAGCTGGAATGTATCTACATGTACATTACGTACATTGCTTCTGAGAGCTGTACGCCGCTAACTGAACTGGTCATACTAAGTATGACTAACACAGTTAGCGTTGTACAACTCTTGTTACTTTCCACTGTGGTTTAAACCTCCTTGAATGTAGTTCTATTCCATGTGCTCCAGATAAAGGCATGTTACAATGTTGTTCAGTGCACAAGTTTAGTAACTCACTTCCCAAGGGCATCATCAACATCCCCTCGGCTGGCTTCCACACCTCTCACACGGCCTTTACAGCTAAGTGGCATAAGCTCATCAGCAGGATAAGCATGGTCCTAGAAGCAGTTACAATATCAGTATGCTAAATAGCAAAGGTAAGGGTTCCTTAATAAACAGTGTTATTCTTGAAAACTAGTACATCATTACCAGTTATTCTTGTAGACCCTTCAACCTTGGAGGATTTCCTTTAGGGGGTTGGAACTGGTAAAATATACGGGCACCTGTATTTTTTACAGCTTGTTCATGCCAATACCTTTTCAAGGTCTTAACATTTCTCCCGCTAGTTTCAGGCTTTTAGCCAGATGGGCATCCAGGCGTCCTGTGGATGGCCATTTTCTTTAGAAAATTATTTTATTTTTCATATGTTGCCTTATAAATTGCTCATTTGAGCAGGCCCTATAGCACAGTTTGGACGGCAACTTTTCAAATTCTGGCTAAAAGCCTGGCTAGTTTGTTAACAGGAGCCTTTTTGTTGGTCTGTTCCTAGTATTTGGTTAGACGAACTTAAAATAAATAAGTAATAGTATATTCGATGTTATTTCAATCTCTTTTATTGTAGTCTTGAAATTTTTCCATTTTATTGTTTTAAGATCTTCAACTTTTTAGTTTAATCAAAACAAAACAATTACTTTTGGAGTGGGGAACAGGTAGTGTTTAAGTATAAGAACCAGTAGCTTTTTGGGGGGAGTTGTCAGTAAAAGATATTATGGCTTCTTTCTCACCTCCAACAATTAATGTTCTACCTCATGATCACAAACATAGTATAGAAAATTTCCATCTAAAATGCTAGACAGTTTTATGCTACGTAATTGTTCTCCTTTGGAACCAAAAACAACACTTATGAAGAATCCAGATCACTACAAACCCTCAATAAACATGGAAAGCACCTTGACTTATTGGGGGTTCAAGTTGTCATGATTTTTAATGTGCTGTAAAGACTCACGGCAATTTACCTCCATAAAAACTTCAATCACAGAAATATTTATCATAAATCCCAAATTTTTACAGAAGTGAATACCTGCCTTGAAAAAAAAGGTGAAACAGATATTGATCAACTTTGCAAAACTATATGTAAATCAAGTGCAAGTGAATGGTGTATTGAAAATGCGAAATTCCTGTTTGACTGGTCAAGCAAATGTAGTAATTTGTATTGCATTGATAGGAATTGTATATTCGGAATACAATAATTTTGTCCTAGCCATCAAGCCAACTCAAGTTCTTCAAAATGTTAAAAATCCTTTTAAATGTAAGTTCAGAACCTATTCATACTGGTGAGCAAACAAAGTAACTTGATTACAATAAGATTATTTTCCTTTTAACAGCTGATATCTTAAAAATATAGACAGAATATCTATTACAGCCTACACTATTTTGCAACTGAAAAAACACCTTCCTGTCAAGATCACATGGCAACAACAGTCCTCCATTGGAATTCAGCACACCAAGTGAGGTCCTGTTGTCGCTATTCACAAACTAAAAAGTGTTTTAAATCACATAGCATTCCACATTAATAAACACCAAATTGAAATATCATAAATAGGTAGTATTCTAAGTATCAAATACACCCATTTTCTGCAATGGTCTTCTTTTAAAAAATAAAAACATTTTGTATGCTTTCTTGAGAGATTCTGCACTATCAAGTATACAAAGGAAGCAAAAATTGCAGATCGGAGAGTATCATTATTTATGTATATAGCTGTCTCAACTTCACCAACATAATGTTCTTCAATATATTCCTTTCTCAATAATAAAAAAAACTCTCTATATTTCCATGGAGTAGAAGGAACTCTGTCAGAAAAGTAACAGAGTGAGCTACATTTTTTCAAGCCACTAATAATTAGCTTCACCATTTCTGAACTGATCCACCAGCTGGTTCTGTCACTAATTCAAAAACATGCACGTTCTTCTAAACAATAGGTCTGACTGATCCATACATATAGCACAGCATTCAAGCAGCTGGCTAGTAAAAACTTTCCTTCTATCATTTTTCATCTTTGCCAACAGGCCAAAAAGCAACCATATTAGCAAAGACACTTTTTTCAAAAAATTCCCACTCTACTGTACACAGGGTGCAAAATGCTGGCAAAGTCCTTTCATAGGATGGCATAGATGGCTAATTACATTCTCTGTGAAAAATTGTTCTCAGTTTATCTTACCACATTTTTTTTGTAATGTTCTGGGAGCATCACTGCTAGGATAATTCCATATGACTTTTACAATGTCACGGAAATGCAACCCACATAAACTAAACAACATTGCACCTGTGTAGCAAGACCAAGACCATTGCAATTCACAGCAAGATCAATGCTTAATGCTAAATTTACGCTATATGGAAAAAAACCAGCTGATTGCTGGATCTTCATATCAAAAGACATCTTTGGGCTGTTAACACTTGATCCACACACTTACAAATACATGTTCTCCTCTAAAGTATCAAAACATGCTGAAGAATTAGGTTAAAGGTGGCCGGCCTTAAATTTACTTCCTTTTACACTTTGTGACGATTATACATTGCGAATTTCATCATCATGGACCTTAACAAAGGCTGCACATATTGCAATACCTATTAGTGCTAATGCCATTTACTTTGGACCTACACATTTGTTAAGAGATTGTAAAATTCGGAATTTATAAGCTGAATGAAACAGTAACTTTAGATCAGGTAAGTCTTAGTTTACCTCAGTACAACTTCACCTTACGTATTAAAATTTCAACAACCAGTTTATTGAATTTTGAAACACCACAACAACATAAATACACGCATTTACTGTTTTCAAAACTGAGATAATAGGAACCGTCACTAAGCTTGACCGCTTACGTAATTGCTTTACTCATGTTAGCCTAACAAAGGACGCTTGTTTCCCGAAATGTGTACTTACCATATAAGAGTCGTAGGCATGGCGAAACATCTCCAAAACCTTGTCCCTATAAAAGAGAATCCATTTCAATATTTAACAGAGGTCCGATAAAAAGACTTACTACATAAACTTGAATAAAAGCATCAACATGTAAACCAACCTCATTGTGTGCTTCTCTTCGGGCGTCATTGATGAATGACTGGATTCGCCACCGGCATAAACAAGAGAAAGACATACTACCAGGGATAACAAACCAGTTCGACTCATTACGGCAAACGGAGTGGACCAAAGTCCAGTTTACGGGTAAGCGACTCGTCGTTTTGTCAAATCACATGGTTTCAATCTCGTAGTTCTACTAAACGCGTTTTCATCCAGAAAGAGACAACTGCCATTTTATCAGATAACTTCTTGCTTTCGTGGCAAAGAGGAATTTAGGACTGGGAGCGAATGACGTCAGGAGCAAACCCCCACGCTACGGGCAAGCACGCGTGACAACACGCGCGCGAAGTGGATCACCCAGACACATTCTTGGGTCTTCTATCACTCATCGTTTCAGTTTTGCACTTTATGCAAGGGAAAAAT